TATACATATATATCATATCTTTATAAATGACACTGTACTCAAACTTTCACCGTAATTATATCGACATCATTGAAGTTTATTAGTAGAATGTTTGCTTATTTAATATAATATATATCTTGCAATTATTATTATTCTCGAATTTTTTTTACAATAACATTTTATAATACTTGGAATAATTTGCAAGGTTGATCAAGTTATATTTTACTTATAAGTTACTTTTTATTATAGAAATTAAAGATAGTAAATTTGGGTACTTTATTTTTTATATTCTATTTTTGTATTATATTTTATCATTTAGTCCAATTTTGTATTATTTTTTGTATTACTATTTTTTGTAATTTCTTTTGTATTTTCTATTACTTAATTTCTATGACAAACACATAAAGAAAAATATAAATACATGAGGTAAAACCTTAAAAAGTAACTTATAAAGTAACTTTCCAAACCTTGATAATTTGATTGTGTTTTTCTCACTTTTAATTTAATATAATATATATGTCTGTTTTTTTTTTATAATACTGATAAAAATTGACATTATATATCGTTTCAATTCATGATGCTATAAACGTAAAAAGTTTAAAGCAGATTTATGATTCAAAGATTGATTACACTATAACAAAAGAGATTTTACCTGGTGCTCCATCTTTATCGAATCCACTCGTTCCGTAAGGCAGATATGGTTTTATTACTTCAGGAATTTCCCATTTGTCCAAATTATCAGCATCCCACTGCTTTCGCCATTGTAGCGACTATAAATATTTTTCTTCATTACATTATTGCAAAATATGCGTTGTGTCGTAAATTATCAAAATTATTAATGTTTTTGATATGTATTTCTGATTATTCTGATATACACTGATAAACACGTGACTTGTTATATTGTATTTTTATTGTTTCGAATATTTTACGATACATTTATAATGTGTGGATATACCTGTAATGTGTGCATATACCTGTGCTGCCATTTTTATTTTAATTAGATTTTAATAAATCTTAAATTTAATCAAAAGATTTTTCTATCACTCTTATTTTTTATGCAATAGCGTAAAATTAAAAAGTGTAAATAATTATACACACGTAACATTTGAATCCTAATACAACATGAAATATTTCCATATGAAATCTTTTTCTCTATAACATTAAGAAGAATACGTACCACCTATGTTATATTGTTGTAAAAGTTAAATTTCTTTCATGAAAAAAATATAATAGATTAATTAGATTATTCTAAATATATCCATTTATTGCTTGATTTACTCAAAACAGATGTAGATGACAGAAAAAAATCACGTTACAGTTTAAATAAATTGGCGGTATAAATAAAAAAAAAATGAAATTTTTTAAAATTATAATTGTGTTTTTTAAATTTTAACTGTAACTTCAAAATTCTTAGATTACTGTAATGTAAGTAGGTTAAAACATATTTAAATTTATCGTAAAAGTTATGCATTAATATCTTTTAGTATAAAATTATTGAATTAAAAAAAATATATGTAAAAAATATCATGTATCTGATTCACCCAAATATTACGTTTATAACCGAAATTCAAAATGATTTTATTATATCATTCTGTGTCTTATTCTTCCGTATAATATCTGTGTAAAAGAATACGGCTTATAAATAGGTTTATATGTTACGGTGTAACACGTACCGTTGGAACGTCTTTAGTCGGTGCTAAGATATCTGAAGACACACTGAAGAAAGAAATATTTCTCATAATTTACAGTTAACGATTTCAGGAATAACGGAGTTTCACGCGGAATAGAAAGTGAAAAAGAATAATTTCCTGAAGAAATTACTTTGGAATATCAAGCCGTATCATAGATCCTTGGTTTTCAATCATTATGAAACTTCTCAGCGTAAGAATACGGATGGTGATTTCGCGAACGTGCTTCAAAGGATCGGTACATTACTTTCGACTTATAAAATGGCATGTACAGAGAACAACTTTCTATTTCATAAAACATCTAGGAGAACAAAAAAGCGGCACTGTTGACAGCAAATCTTCAACATCCAATACGAACGGAAGGATACTTTCTTTAATTTATTCGCGATAGAATTAACTGCGATTAGTTTGAATGATGTTGGCAATTATTTGATCGTTACTTACATAAAAAGATTGTTAAATTATCGTCTTGTGTGTGACATTAACAAATAATATAAAATATTAAATTTATTATGTTTGCTACATATTAAGTTTAATGTGTGTGTGTGTGTGTGTGTGTGTGTGTGTGTGTGTGTGTGTTGTGTTGTGTTGTGTTGTGTTGTGTTGTGTTGTGTTGTGTATATGTGTGTAATATTATTGAATATATATTATACATTAATAAATCTTTATTATTAAATCAAAGAATATTTATAAAAAATAATTTAAAATTTACATTTATCTATCTATCTTTGTTTAATTTATGATGTGAGTAACGTTTCTGTCAGATGAATTGGATTGACAATGACGTGACATACATCTTGACATTCTTGACCGGCATTCAGTTCCGATCAAGATAGAATTCACAAAAAATAGATAAAGATTTCTCATCAAGACACGTCACACAAAAGAAGTTTTTAGAATGCAACGAGCTGTGATGCGACTCACTAAGTTTACGCCTGCCGCGTTAATATTTAATGAGTCGCGAGTAATTCACGTGGCAGAGAAATTTAAAAGACTCGGTGACTGTATCCGGAACGTGTTTCACCAGACTTTCTCAATTGGATTCGTCTGTGTTTTGTGTAATGTGAATAGTGAGTCTAACCTGAGGGAACGGAGGTCGAATACGTAACCGGCGTAACGTCCGGAGACAGAATAATGTAAAATACATATCCACTTTATTTAGTATATAAGTGAAATATGAGAATGTAAAATATGCGATTGTAATATGAAGAAAACGTTCACATGTTCTTGCACAATTACTTACGTCTCTCAGCATTTTTTCAGCTGCAGTAGGATCCCATTTTCTTGCTATAAAAAGCATAGAAATATAAATTTATTTTAACTTAAATGTATTATTTATCGTATAATAAATAATACATTTCTCAGAACTATTTAAATTATCGGTAAAAAAAAATATTGCTTTATATATAGGTATCTACGATATTTATATGTATATGCAAAATCTATTTATTATCGTGTAACTTGCAAGTGCATACAATATCAAATAAAATTTACATATATATATTATTATACATATGACATCATTAAAAAAATAAGAAAAAATGTACAGTTTTTACTCACGTAGTTACATAGTTATCGCGTTATTTATTTAAAATAAAATTTATTAAATTATTCCAATAATATTGTTTCAATATATATTAAAAACATTCTTATGTGCACTGACGTTGTTTATTGGATATATGAGTCGTAGCAATTTGTGTGACTCACAATTCTATAGAGCCAGTTAATAATAACCGATAATTTCGAGTTTCCTCAATTTTGTAGTTTTGTTTCAAAACAGTTTAATAACTTCGCTAAGTGCTGCTTCGAAACATATACATGCACACATATAAAAATAGGTAAAAGACAATGGATGTCACGTCAATTATTCACGATATTTCTCACGATGCACATGACTACGTTATGTACACATAACACAGAATAAAACATTTATTGAAATCACGAAGCATAGCTTCCTATTATTAAATACGTTGACTGCGTTCAGCACTACAATATGCAAAAATATGTAGCTTTGCACTTATTAAAATTGTAAAATTATTTAATATGCTTGATCTTGTCTTTAGTTTTTCATTGGATCTACCAAGGGGAATATCAGATAAGAGATTCAGAGATTTTAATGCGCTTTTTGCAAACTTTTTGTAACAATGATTGTAATAATTTGAAAAACGTAGTGTATAAATGAAAATATCAGTATCTTTATAAAATTTCATTTAATATTATTAGTTTTAATTACTTTTTGATTGTAACGAAATTTCATGAAATTACGTATTGTGTTTAATTATTATCTATTATATAATACTAATGTATAATTTCATGAAAATTTTCATTACAATCAAAAAGTAATTAAAACTAATAACATTAAATTAAAATTTATAAAGATACTGATATTTTCATTAATACAGTACGTGTTTCATATTACTATAATAATTATTTAAAAAAATCGATTTCTTCGAAACTTAGGTCAATGGTTGAAACGGCCGGATACGTATCGTTTTTTTTCCCCTCAAAAAGACTGTAAAAAGCGCATAAAAATCTCCGATCCCGTCGCCTGGACGGATCCCTTCACCCGTTCCCCTTGTAAGTATATAAACCAATTATTCAAGAATTTTACAGCAGTTGCAAAGATATTTTTTTCTGTTGAACGCAGCCATTATTAATTGGTTATCAGGGAGAGGGCCATACCTCTTAACCAGCGAAGCAGAAAGTAGTCATCGTGGTGTGGCTGTAGGATATCTTGCACTGACCGTCGAAACTGCACGAAGAAGAAAGGAAATATATAGATCTGCTTTGTTTATTTTTTATATATTATATAAATAACATTATTATTAAAAGCGTTCACTTTTGATTGCACAATTTTGTGATTTATTATTATAATTTCTCATTTGATTTATGAGTATTTATGAATCGAATGTAAGAACGAGGAACAAAGTTTTACTTTATAAATATGTATCATGTGTATCATGTTTGCGAACGTTATAGCGAAGCAATTATATACGTTTATTTTTATACAAATATAATATGCTTACGTAAAGATTATATTATACGTTTTTTTAGAAATAATGCACACTGACTTCATTTTATAATACTTCACATTATTGTTGCACCGCAACGTTTCCAACATGCGATTCTTAATTATGATTTATAGGAAACAAGTACCACCGTGTGATATAATAATAATGATATACGCGAGGAAGTGAAACTTCCTTGTCGATTTCTGTAATTATCAATTATCTCCGTGAGAGAAAGAAAGAGAGAGATGAAAAAGGTCCGTACTGCGTTGTACATTATTAAACCTAATCAAAGTGTCTACTTTCACTTAAATCCATAGGAGAGCGCAGAGTTTGGTGATATTAATATTTACTTTGCATATATATAGATTTTGCATATATCTCTTTGCATATATCTTGCTTTTATATGATGTTTATCTTTAAATAATATATCCTTTTTATACAGAGAAGTTTGCATTTTTTTTAAATCAAACGTCAGACAGTATGTGTGGCAAACTGATAGATAATAAAAATTAAAAGTAATTTGAAGATATTATCTCGTACAATTCATCAGCCTAAGGTTATAATTATACAGTTTACTATGAGTATGCACATTAATTTTTTTACAATTTCATTGATTTTTATTGATAATAATTTTAGTTTTTCTCTTCAGTTAATGCTATGTAAATATATTATTACAAAGTATAATAAAATAGAATTTATATTTTTCCTCGAGCGTTTGTATCACTTGATTATTCTTGAAAGTTGCTTAAAGGATTTGAAACAATTTCATGTATGAGACTTTTTATAATCCCATGTATGAATTTATTAAATAATTATCTATTTATGGATATATCGCCTTGAATAAAAGGTGCATTTATTGATAACAAAATGTTTTCACTAAAAGAAAGAAAGGAAAGAAAAAAAAGAAATATTGGCTTATTGTTTTGCCATCAAGTTAATCAATGTAACTCTTTCTTAACAAAAAAAATTATTTGCATAATTATTAATCCTCATCCTCAATTATCAAAATGTAATTTTCCTAATGACAGTTACTCACAATATAAAGTAAACATAACATATAACAAGAAAGTATTGCTGCAAGGAGGCAACAATTTTCGATTGGATTTTAAGTTTATGAGAGTAGCATGAACTGTAATGAAGTTTTCAGTAGAGCTGGATAGTTGAACAAGATTAAAGCGTATAGCAGTTAAAATTCTTCTTACGAGAGAGCAGGGAAAATTTTGCTAACTATTCTATTAAAAAATCGTAAATTGTTGTATCATAAAATAATTGCCCTTCACATGCACGAAATAACCGAAATGATATAATGAATATATGTCGATCTCTTGCGTGAAAGATGTTATAACATTGATTTGATTTCATTTCTCAATAAACAGGAATGGAAAAAAAGGGTGCAGACAGGAGTGAGAGGATCAGAATAGGTCACACATAATTATCGAACGAAGTAAACCGGTTTCTCTTCTCAACAATTGGACTTTGTAATCGCGATAGATTTTTTTTTTCTCTGCATGTTCATCGGCTAAAGCTAATGGTATTGTTTTATAAATGCTCAATAATCGCATAAGGAGCACAAACAGTTCTTTCTTTCACATCGTTTTGAATCGATCGAGCGTGAAACGCTAATTGAAAAAAAAAAAGATTCTAATCGAACTTTACAGACGCTATCAGTGTAGCTTTTATATTCGCTGTTTGTTTCAAGTGCAAGAAGTAAAAAAAAGCAAAGATATCTTTTGGCGCCTTAATATTAGTTTTCATGATACTAATTACATCTGTACATTTAAGAAGGTTCATCGAATACTCAATGAAGGTCGCACATGTTTAATCACCGTCATAGCTGCAGATGACAATACACTACAATAGAAAGCCGTTTACAGCGAAACGATAACAATCAACAATAAAAATGCAATATTTCTTTTCGATACAATTTCTATGGTCTTTTACGATGGAATCGAGAGGAAGTTGCTTGAAAATAGAGATAAAATATAACAGAAATCGGGGATTCGTCACAAGGAACTTTCTCGAAAGTAAATTACGAAACAAATAATTGTTTTTGGAAAAAGACTACTTACGTGAATTACGTAAAATATAGATTGCAATTCGTTATAAGTTATAGAAAGTATCAAAAATACAGTGTGAAAGCAATATTTCTTTATAATCAATTATGATAACTTTGTTACGAAACAATAAACTCGCATCTATATTAAATAAAAGTTAACATGGTTTTGTAGTAAAACATCATGAGCATCAAACACATAGCAAAAATATCGTACATATTTTCCATGAAATTACGAATGCAGTACCATTAAATATTTTTATCCGAATAGCATATGACATAGAAAACGAGAAAAATTCTAAGCGAGTGCTTTTTATTGATTAATATATTACTCTGATATTAATGATATTAAAATACATCTTACGAAACGTGATCAAAGTTTCTCCTGATCTTCTAATAATGCAATAAATTATATAAAAATAACTTCAATGCGAAGATATTTAGATGGTTTTTGGAGATATTATATGCCTAAATTTTTTTTTTGTTTCTTTAATAAACGTGATTTTAAAATTATAAAATTAACATTTTACTTTTAATTAATTATAAAATATTAATAAAATTATGGTCATTAACTTGAGATAGAGAAAGCAAGAAGATGTCGAAAGAAATGCAAAATCTAGAAAACACGCTATGCAAAAACATTAACAATTAATATTTTCCTTGATTTACTATTAATCATTTACTTAATTATTTATTTACAATTCCTATGAATTGCCAATATCTGAATTACGAAAATACTTCGATAATTGCATAGAGAGAAGCGAATATCCTTTTTAAAATCATATAGCGTGTTTACTAAATTTTGCATTCCTTTCGATATTTTCTTATTTACTTTATCTGAAGTCATAGATTATTATTGCAAATTTCTACTGATATTTCCAAGACATTTTGTACGATTGCTTCATTCAAACGGATTGAGTCGAGAAAAAGTCATTTTATGCATATGCACGTCGCGAAGACATCTTGTGTGCGTGTATTGAGTGTATATATTGCATCGATGTCGTAATTCAAGACAGCGCGGGTGAATTTGTATAGCATTGGTATGCATTGAGGACCTTTTAAAAGTGTGCGAGATTTGCGTGTGCCCAATTATTCTTAATCACGAGGCTGTGATAGTTTCCAAATATAACAGATGAAAGTGTCTCCATCATCATCGGCATAACGTTTTTTCTCGAGCGACAGAAAAAAAAAACAGTTGAATTTAACTGGTCACGTTAATTGATGTCAAACGAGCAAAAAACTTAATAAACTTTTTCAATATATGTGTCACGTACTAAATGTTTTACCTTTTTTTTTTAGTGACACATCTGAAATGGTAAAATTTTTAATATTAAAACATAACAAACATATAAATTGAAATAGAGAAAAAACTGACTCAGATTTTCTGCCTATTTTTATGAATCTTAATTGACATAAAAAAATTTTCGACATAAAATCTAGTTAGTATTGAAACAAGGTCGTAAATCGAAAGGCAATCGACGATTCTTTTCTTACGACGCAATCGGAAAAGTGCCAATCTCTTCGCGATCCACTGCATCTTGCTGCTTGAAATAAGTGCTCGACTGTTTACTATCCGTTCTAGATATCAGAGGTGAATGATTACTAGGTTATAAGAGGACTGAAGCAGTTTCTCTACGCGCATTAAAGTCTTTGCCTTCAATATCTTGTATCACATATACCGAAATTTTCAACTCTATTGAGAAATCATGTCAGTAAATCTGAATTAACCTGATACCCTTGAGAGATTCTTTGCCGAATCACAGGGTGGATATAATTTCTTTTAAAAACATTGAGAACTTTTTTTCATAACCTGTTTTAACGTAAAGATTTTTTGTGCAAATTATATCTTTGAAAGTATCTTATAAAATTTTCATAGTAAAATTATTTTCATGTGACATTTGCGTTAATAAAATTAATAGTTAACATGATTTTATTAATAGTTAATATCTTAAGCTAACGATATTTTTAATTAAATTTGTTTTTCTTTTTCAAATTTTGGAAAGAAGCAGATACAGTTTGGAAACATATGAATTCTTCTATTTACATTAAAAAAATATAATTATTTGCTTTATGAAGTTCTTCATCTTATATCTATGCGTTTTATTAATATATCAATTCTTAATAAAAAATTTTCATTAAATAAAAACGTTCTTTAATTTTTGTCTTTTTGTCGAGAAGAAGAAAAATAGATTGTTTGATTTAAAGGATAATAATGTTTGTAAAAATTGTATTTGCTATGTGTCTGCTTAATCATCGAACGTCAATAATCTATACTTATCAACTGTATTTATGTGCATGCTTCATAATTAAATAGTCAATTTGTCGAGTATCCAATAAATGTCAATCTTTTAAATTTATGTGATAACTAACGCTATTACATTGGTGTATGTTACATCATTTGCGTGAGATACTGATATTCCTGTCGACGCCGGCGTTTAAAATATTTCTGAATTATCTCGGGCAAGCCTGACGATGAAATTTGTTTGAAATTTTATATATGGAAATATATTTATAAAACTTATCAATATTATCATTTTTACGTGTGTAAACATAAAATAAAGCAGAAACTCGGGAATAATAAATAAATGCGCATCGACACTTCCTGATGTGCCCTTTTTTTCTTCAAACTGTGGTATAACATTTATTTCTTTATTTAAATGTATTAGTCATGCCAGAATAAAAGTTTAATAATTATCGATATTTACATATTTCTTAAATTTATGTAAATTTATCAAGTATAATAGAGATAAATTTTAGCTTTTAAAATAACCTTGTCATTTATTTTTAGAAGAAAGAAAAAGTAATAACTTGATTAACAAGTTTTGTCCGCAAATTAATTAAAATTCACAATATACGATTAATTAACATTAACTTGAACTTTTGCAATTCATTAGCATTTCCAGAAATAAGAAAAATTGTTTGAACTTTATTGCATTATAGTTTTGTAAATAATTAAATGTTATTTCAGTAATTTATTTAATCATTTATATTAATAATTATACGTACGCATCTCGGGTGTTTTTCATATTGTAACATGTAAACTTAAGCACAGAGGATATTTTTTTATGTGTCATATTGCTGTTTTTTAACATATTTATTAAAAGTTAATATTAAAATAAATAGTTTTAACAAATTTAAAAGATCTAAAAGCACTTGTTTATTTAGTATTTTTTATAATTTATTATTATTATTTTTATAATTGTAGAAAATATTTTTTATTCCGATGAGGAGAAAAACTAAACTATGAATACCTAAGTAAATATATGATATACTTTATTCATATGTAAATTATATATTCTTTTAAATAATTTTATGCAAAATAGTCACATTAACAGAAAATCTTGTCTCTATTGTGTCTATTATATAAAATTGTTTAAAAGAATATATAATAAAATAGTGCGTTTGTATGTCGAAACTTTATCACTATTAACAACATGATCCTGGAAGATATCTGATGCATTTTGAGCGATTAATTGACCTTACTGACGTACACATGAATGAGAAAAATAAAAAAATCCTTGAAATTACAATATTCCTTGAAACAGTGTATACATACCTTGAAATTATAAATAACAATGTTCTTAGGTGCTGCTTATTAGCTTTAATATTTTCGTGAGAACGAGAGAGAGAGAGAGAGAGAGAGAGAGAATTTTTTAAAAGAAGATGTGTCGATTTTGTCTTCGGAATGATAAGTAAAAGTAGTATGTTATTTATAGATTTTGAGCTACTAAATCTGATTTTAATCTTAGTCGGAAAAATAGCATATGAAATTATTGAATATAATAAAAAGCCATTATATGAATGGTATGTTAATGAAAGTGTGAAATTATAATAAAATACTTTTAATGAACGAAATCTATATCTATACATATAAAAAGAATGTATACGAAAAGCAATAAATAAAAGCAATAAAATTGGAAAAAAAGTAATATAACAATTATTCTTGCTCAGAATCGTTCTCATTATTGCCAACATAATTTTGAAAGTTTTCTGATAGATACTAAGCGTAACTGGCGAGTATATGAGTGGGAAGAAAATCTTTGAAATTGGGTGTAATGAACAACAATCTTTTGTTTTCAAGATATCATGATTTAATCAAGATTTAAAATAATTATCATGTTTTACTAGTAGGAAATACGATTTAATATCCATGAAACTCAACATTAAGATAAAATTAATTTACTTTATAATATTACTTTATAATATTAAAAATACCAGAAGGTTTATATTAATCGTTAATGAGATCCTATTATCTCGATTCGGCGCAATTCGCCGGTTCGCGTTAAAGAAGCCATGATAGTTGTCTCACGCCATGTCTTAGCACCGAGACACTACCATGTCTCCAGATACTACTTTTTTAACATTCTCCTTTCTAGAATAAATTATATTAAAATATATATATATATATATATAGAATAAATTATATTTCTGCTGTCTTACCTTCATCAATGCAAATCGCTGGTCATCCGCCAATTTTAATGACATTTTTGTTATTAGACCACTTAAGAATTCACAATCACGTCTCTTCAGTTTATCGGTAGATTGTTGAATTTAAAAATAATTACAGTCGATTTTTATCTATGGCTAGAATAAAAACATTGGTATATATCATCTACATTAAAGCTGTTAAAACAAGTTTTTATCAAAATATGTAGTATATAACGCATATATTTATTATTTTCGTATCGTTTGCGATTACATAAGTATGTGATATACATATAATGCTGATGGAGAATAATTATTATTATTACATGAAAATGTTTTTGTAGTGTTAATTAAAAATCAAAGATATATGAATTTTTTAATTGATAACGTCATTTATATTGATCAAAGATTAAAGTTTAAGAAAGACATGCGTTCATGATTACTTCTAATCGATAAACAGTGAATTATATAAATTAATTACTCGCATGATCGTCTTGAATTCTTTAATTAATTATATATTATATACTAAATTAATTCATACAGTACAGGAACAATGTTCAAAACAATAAGACATGAAAATCTGTATTATTGCTTCTTTAATTATAATAAATGAAAATTATTGATAATTCACTGATCGCCCCAAAATAGCTATAATAATTATAAAATTTGCATTTTTATTATGAGATCAAACTGCCAGTGGTTGTGATTTTAATGAAATATTATTATATTTGAATTATATGTGAAGAAATAAATGCAGAGTATAATAATGTTTTTATCGGCGTTAAATCACATATGAATTTTTTAATCGATAGTATACATCATATTTGCGTCAGTTAAGATCAGAGTTTAAAGACAATACATATTTTACAATTTCTTCTAATCAATAAGCAGAATAGAATATGAAAATTAATTATATTTTGCTTTTCTTGTACTTTAGCTAGCTAATTATATTATATGCATATATTATTGAATTGATTGAATGTATATTAAAGCAATAAGACAACACGATATTATTGTTTCTTTAAAAATGTATATATGTCACATCTCAAAGTATAATTCAAAATATAAAAGACGGATATGTTAGACATAATTTTTGGCTGCGAAAATTTTTTCAGTTAATTTAAATAGTAATAAAAATTTGATTTAGTTTTATTATCAATAAAACTAATAGCTTTAATTGGGATCTCACACACAATAATACTGTCAAGTTTCAACAAATATAAATATAATGTATAATTATTAATGAATTAAAGAGGAATATCTATGAATCTAGATTTGTCTCGAGCAGTAATATTCTCTAAATAGATAAAGCTATCTGCGATAGAGCGCGATACAGATAAAAAGAATTAAGAAATCCAGATTGCTGCACAACATTATTAGGATTTGTTGATGCTGATAGTATATTTAGTGATTGTGTAAAGTACACAATCTGTATAAAATTGACTTGAAATATTGTCAATAATTTTTATCTAAGACTAAGAGAATGTCAAAATATTACTAATCAGTATTATTGATTGGGTCCGCGTAGAAGATATTTGCGGAAAAGTTTATTTGGATCTATTCAGTCGTTAAGTAAAACTTATTTAAAATTGCAGTAAAATATAATTATTGCGCCGTATAATCATCGTATAATCATAGAGTAATAAGTATAAATTGCATTGTTTCTATATGAAGTTCTCACGCGGTTTAGAAAGAATGAGGTTGAATCATATCACTCCCTCTTTTTCTAAAGTATCAAGTCGAAAAGAGATACTAATTCAGTTCTTTCTAACGGAACACAGATATATTAAGCTTATAGGAAATTTACAGTCTATTTTTCTCTGACTAAATCGCTATTTTCTTCTTTGTAGTTGGTTTCAAGGCATATTCACGACTAAGACTTTTGATTATTGAAACAAAAAAGGACTTAAGAAACTTGTAGTTACAAGTTCCATCATGTCACAAATGAGATAACATGTAGTAACAACAAATTTAGAGACGACGCAGTGTTTAAAAATCATTGACGTTTTAAATATGTTGTAGGCATTGAGACTTTCTTTCGTGTTATTATTGTGATATCATTTGTCATGTACCACATGCTATAATTTAGCACGTATATAAAATTTGCAATATAATAAATTGATATAATCTTAAAAGAGGAACATCCCATTATACACAATCTTATACACAACTTGTAAATATTTCCTCACATATGTACCTGTATTATTCGAATTATCTATCACAAGCGCATTTTTAACGTTTACCGTATCTGGGAACACAGTGTAAAAGAAAGTTTTTTAAGTCTAAATTGAAGAAGTTGTCAGAAATCATGAACAGCACGAAGATATCAGCCAATAGTGTTTATTCACTCAACGAACGTGAACCCGGGGACCACCTCGAACTCGCGATCGCGATTGTTCGGCGATGACTGGACTGACTGTATTCAGGTCGATGCCGCAACAGGTGTCTATTGCAGCGACCACGATTGCTGCGCGTCTGCGTGCACGCGTGCGTACATCTGCACGCGCCTACCTTCACTCGACGCGATTACACTTACGAAGATGAGATAGGTATCAACGTCACGAGGCGAACGGTACCGAAGGAATGGTATACCCAGCTTGTTCTCGACAATGGCAAATTTCCAATCGCCCCACCATCGGATCATTCGCACCAGCCACCTTCCTCCGTCACCGCGACGTCGTTCGGCAGAGCTGGTGCACGCGCGAGGTGAACGCGCGGTCCTGTCTCTCCGTTCAGAAACTTGACAAACGGGCTGTCGCGCCCAAGTTCCAATTTCTCGACCTGATCCTCACGCAGATAGAACTGCTGAAATACCTAAAAATTTTGACATATACAAATCTGAAAATAATTTTGTTAAATCCAACGAAATATTTTTGAAGAATACTCAAGCAATGATAAGTGGTACTGTCAAAAATTTGATATTTCAGCGATCAGCTTGAGCGTCTTACATAAATTATGTTTGATAGTGCAACAAAATTTACTTTCAAATTTATATCTAGCAAAATTCTTAGGTTTTAGACAGTAAAACTTAATTGTTCTTTTTGTGCATGCAGTTGCGTTTCGACATCGCGATCGGAGTTACGCAGCCACGTATTCGGCATTAAGCGTCCGTTACTACCACCATCACCGTCACAGAATGAGGTTCATGCGGTCAGTGCGACGCGATTGCATCATGCTCTGGCGATGGTGCACCGCCGAATCCGTGCGCGGCGCTTCATGAGCAGTCGCTATCTCTCTTGGAGAAGAGAGTCTCCACGTCATCCCCAATATTCTCTTCTAAATGATTTCCGAGGGATGCACGATGTTAAGGATGCATTACACATATTTCCAAAATAATGAAAAAGTTACAAAAAAATTACAGATTATTCTAAAATCGCATTTAACAGTAATATAAAAAATTTAGCGATGGTCCACCATCTGGATCGAAATTATTTCAATTAGAAGTAGTATTTTTTTTAAATCTGTGTTATATTGTAATATATGAGAGCGTATTATAAAATAATGACAAAAATCTGAATTTTTATACAAATGGTACTTAAAGTATATTCGAGATGATTTATGTAAAATTATATTGTGATGCAGAGATTAGTTGTTCTGTAAATAAAATATTTATTTTTTGTAATTCTTTAACTAAATTTTGAATCGCAATGCAACTTTATATAACTCATTTTGAATACTTCAAGTATTTATACAAAAAATTGTAATATTTGTTATTTTTAAAATTTTTATTTATAATAGTAAGAATAATGATAAAATGAATTAAATAAATGAATTAAAAATGTTATTTAAGAAAAATAGAGTTGCTATATACACAACTTTCATATATATATATATATATACATAAAGTGTAAATATTAACATATTTGTAAAAATAGGTATAAAATAACAACTTAAGGATACAAACACTAGAATAGTATGAAGAATAAGGAATATAGAATTTCAATCTATTAGAAATCGGATACACCGAAATATATAGTTTCTGATCGGTTGAAATCGTTACTCGGTAAAAAATTTTTCTTACATGGATATGTATAAATATGTTTACAAATATACATAAACATTTATAAACATATACAGTCAATGATTGTCATATATGATTGTCAATCGTATATGAAATCAAATGTGTCCATACATGTTCATATATTCCTCTTTCTTTTGTAAAATTACTTTTTAATGTAATAAAAATAATAATAATAATGTAAAAACATAAAAAATAATTAAAGGGATAATTTTTGCAATGTTTGTTTTAGAAAAAAAACAAGATTGAAGAAATATAAAAAAAAATTGCTCATACACAATTATGCATAATTTTGTACATAATTATACATAAGGAATTTTTTTACATTTTTTTAAACTTGATTTTTTTTTAAATAAATAGTTGTGAAAATTAATTTTTTCATTATTTTTAATGTGTACATTGCTATTAATATTTCTATTAAACTAAAAAATAATTTTACAAAAAAGGACATATGAACATGATTACGTATGTTTATGAATATTTATGTTTATACATATTTATGCATGAACCATTTTTTACCATTTAATACTTCCACGATGCGTATTATGGAATTTTCCGAGGATAAATTTCGATCGGAATTATTTCATTCTTCCAGAAAACACAATAAAAATCTAAGAAATAATAATACTTATTCCGCAATCAGAATCTATTATAAATAATTTCATAATACGCATCTTGGATTTAAAAATTAGACTAAATATCAACTTTTAATCAACTAAAAGACGACAAATGTTCCAACTATAATATAATCAACTATCAGTGAGCTAATGTAATCGATTTTATGTTAACTAACCGACAATCATCTAACCTTATTTTAATAGTCGACTAAATATAGACTTTGAAATCAATTTAAAATCAACGAAGAAATGTCGATTACCAGTCGATAAACAGTTAGGCATGCTGTATTTATAGGCACGTTTTGCTTTTTTCTACTAATATTCTTCCGGCGTGAGGCAATAATAAATCATATTGATTTGGCTTACTATTAACTTGAGAAATTACGAGCGCTTTTGTGTCGCAATACATACGTGTAGAATGGCATATATTAGAGGTTCATCTTGAAAATTTATTTATAGCCTGCATTCAGCGCTCTAAATGCCATTGTTCAATTTAGAGATCCGTTTATCTAATATTAAAATTATATCTAATCTTGAGTCACGAGTTTATAAGTTTATTATCTTCGTATGATTATTTTCGATATTTAGACTTAAAAATTTCACTATTTACGCACATCGAATTTTAATTCGAGAGATCGTTGAAAAGAAAATTGTACTAAATTTGTCATGCGTACTTCAAGAGAAATCGTAATGTAACTTGGCTTCAAGGTCAGTTTAAATGTCCGGCAAGTTGAGCACCGAAGTAATCGTTCTCCATCTTGCTATAATCATATACGATTCTCTGTAACGGAAGATTCAACCTAATCCGCACATAAGCGGAAATTTTCTAGTCGACACTGTAAATACTAATTCTTTTTGTGCGCCTTTCTGTCACGCTTTTACTGTGACATGAATTGCATCGCGAGCGCAAGCGAAACGAGACATTTGCTTCATTAATTCAGCAGTGATCGAAATTTTGCCTGACGTGGAATATTTACTAAATCATCGTGACAAATAAAGAAAAATAAAATTAAGGATGTATGTGTCACATCTAAAAATACAATATCAAAAATATAAAAACTTCATATAATTGTTTTATTATTATTATATCTCCGTAAAATTTGAACAGTTCTCTTATTGATTTAAAAATTATTCAATTTTTTTTCCTTGATTTTATTACAAAATGGTTTTTTGTAATATTTATTTGCAAATTTGATGAGGTAGTAACATTAAGAATTCGATACATAATGATTTGGGTGCAGTTTACTAAAAAATTGTATGCATATATATTGTATATAATTACGCATTAATTAATATTTAAGCACTAAAATCCGCTTTAAGCGAAAATAATATTTTTTTTATATAAAATTTATTCTCATCGGTCCAATCTTGAATTATAAATATTAAGAATTAAGTTAAATTTTATACATAAATTGTTGCAAAATATTGTCATTTTGCTATATATATATATATATATATATATATAAGATCATTATATATATTCAACTTATTTGTTATTTCCTTTTTTGTAGTTGGTTTCAGGTCATATTCAGGGGCTAATACCATCAAAAGTTTTTGAATAATATTGTTTGATATTAGTTTTTTTTGGCTAATACTTTTAATTGATATTGTATAACCCAAACATCTTTAAAAATCATGATTACATTGATTAATAGATGCTTTTAAACTAACGATTGCTCATTTATCATATGATGGTGGAAACAGCTATTATTGCCATTTAATTTTTCAACAGATTGTAGCAGATTTTTTTCTTAACTTTCTTTACTTATTCATTAATCTGATTTAATCTGATTTAATTGTCCGTACATATATCATTTCTTTTGTGTCACTTTCACTCGGACTGTTAAATCTGTTATTCAATGAGGATTCATTATATCGTTAGGGCATCATGTACAGTTCTGGTGGCGGTATCTGTCGATAAATGCAAGTACTGCTTTCGCATTGAACATCGAACTTGATCATTTGATTTGACTTCTACTTTCCGAATATATTCGATCATTCGAAATTTTTGGACAAATTTCAAACAAGCTGAATTCATAGCACGATTCGAAGTTATAACGTAAGCCACAAAATTTCAGTCAACTAATATTCTTTATTTTTAAAAAGGACTTCGTGTTAAAATAGTCATAAAATGACTATTATGAAGCAAATGACAACATATTTATATTTAAATGTTTTAGAAAAACTCATTGCAAACTCGATACCTATTACATTATATGTTTACTTAAATAATATGTTTTATTCATATATGTTTCAAGCATTTTATATATAGGATTATTATTTATACACGCGTATGATTTAAATATCGATGTATACAGTGAATATCCCAAAATTCGCAATTCAAAATTTAGCAAGAAAGTTTTCGAAAAATTAAATAAAAAGGGTTATTAAATTTTTATTTTAAGCAATAGTTTCTATAATATAAGGGTTTAATTATAACTAATTACATTAGATGGTTATTTATGAGTATTACTGAACATGCTGATGAGCGTGCTGAAGTGTTCGCTCATCAGCACTCACTGATATTACAGGCGATTCATGTGATTATCTAGATATAATCTGTAATTGGCTATATTTACATAATATTTATATAATAAATATCGTACTATTTCAAAAATTATTGCTAAAATAGAAATTTACAAATAGCGTTTTTATTTAATTTTTTGAGAACTATCTCTTACTATAAAATTTTATGTTGTAAATTTTAGGACACTCTGTATACGTGTACATATTGCATGCTCTGTACATGTATATTTTCATAAGCACCAAATCCATGTGTGACTTTTAGAGAAATCGAGTATCTACTGGCTAATATTAAAAAACAGTAATTATAATTATTTACTTTTATATATAAATATCAAAAGCAAAAAGTTTAGTACCTTTTTGTACTCCAAATAATTAATTACTATTTTTTAGTAAAAATTACGGCCAGCACGGATTTCTAAAGGAAGCCATTAATGACAATGAGTCTGTTTTTTATTCCTGTAATATTAAACTGTACTTTTTCTCTCACTTTAGTTAAATATCAAACATATATCTATTTACTTTAAATTTCAATAGTACATATACACTAGTTCAGCTATAAAAAACATATCTGATAATAACTTCTATACATTTGGGAGTATTCGACGAACTTCGATCTAATCGACGATTATTTCATTGAATTGCTTGCAGCAAAATTTCTAATTCTATAATTCGTTGAATCTAATTCTTTTTTTTATATATCAAATTAAAAAATTAACAATTATATCTATTTGAAATATTGCATATACTATTTAATGAGTTAATTGCTGAGTAATACCTGCATTATTTTATTAATGTAGAATAGAGTTATTAATCTTTTTATTATTTACAGAAATAAAAATTAAATCGGGGACGAGTTGAAAATTTTACTGTAATATATTCACTGCCACGTCATTTTATAACATTCCTTTTCAAAAGTGCTCCGTCATTCAAATACGAATAACACCAAATTCTCTTGCGAAATCTTGTCATTCAATGTTTTTTGTAAGGAAAATGAAAGAAGATAAATTTGAATTCCAGTAATGCTATATAATATTGAGTATTATTTATGTATAAATGTATATCGCAATAGCATTATGGTACTAATATTGTTGAAACATTGCAATATTGTTGCAATGATATATATATTGTATGGGATAATTCGTTGCCCTTAATTTAATTTTTCTATGTGTAACAATAAAAAATAAATAATTCTATATGTATTATTGAAATAATATAGATATATTTTTTTTTAAATAAGAATTCTATATTATTTGCATGAGATGTAAAATTTCCTATTTTATTTTAAAAATCTAAATTCACAGGTCTAATTTTTTTATGATTGAATATGCTGCATAAATTATTTTACGATTAAACTGTTGTTTATCTTTATATGTTCAAAAGATATATGTAGAACATCAATGTTTATTTATAAATTGTAAATTATCAAAGAGAACAATGCAAATTGAGATACATTTTTGGAATTTAAAATACATTTTACTCGAATAATTACAGTTAAAAAATTATACGAGCGATATATTATATAACGTTGTAGAATTAATTCCCAATTAATTGATATTTAAAATTAATTGAAATTTGGTTGAAGCTATTCTGTTCCAACATTGACTGCAAAGAAAACAGCTTCGCATTGTAAAATTCTTTAGTACGATTGGTTTTGTTCTTAATTCCTTACTGCATTTAAATGTATAAACTAATCATATTAATTTTACAACACAGTATAAAATTACACTGCTTTTTTTTTGCTGAACGCGCTTTTATCGAAGCTGCAAAAGTAACGGTGTATGATAATATATGATGAGCACAACGCGCAGTTGCAAATGCTGTATCCGTCTATACATATCGCGAGTTCGATTTCGAGGGTGATCGGGGGTTACGGCTTATAACAAGGAAGGTCGCGCGACGCGAATAAGTTCGACTCGACGCAGCTCGACGTGGTGGCAGTGCGACAGTGAGAGTCCCGATTCCCATAGTTTTCGCGAGGCGGATCGAGGTGCCTCGCGTAAGATCGCGTAGTATAAAGCATGCGAGTCGGGCGATCGTATTCTATCGGCACCGTCGAACTTCATCGTCGTATCCGGCATATCCCCGGCGAAAAAGGAGCGAGCGAATCGCGCGGTGACAGGGTCGATACGTTGACTTCAAGGGCGTGCGGCTCACCCACGCAGGTTCGTGGGACAGCAGTCTTTACGTAAGTCAGTTTTGTTACAAAATGATACGTATGTGCTTTGTGTTATTCGACGATAGACGCGAAATCGTGGATAAGACGATTAACGAGGTAACTCGCGAAACGTCGGGTGGAGCTTCGTCGATCGCGTCGCTGTATAGGTTATGTTTCTTTGGCAATTGACAAATGCTCAAGCAACGCTACTACTAAATATGTAACACGGAAAGGATCCATATGTATGTGTCGAAACGGACTCTGAATTTTTTATGACTGGGTTTGTATTGTTACGATAGCTAAAATATTTGAGATTATTTTGTAATTAATTTTGAACATGTGTTTTAAAGTGATATTTGGAGGAGTTGAAGAAGGATTGTCCGGCCTGTTTGCATGTGTGACATTGATTTGTCACGGAAACTGATGTGACGTGGAGTAAATGTAGTAGAGTTTATGCGATTTCAGCATGAATGTGATAAATATTGATGTTCCATTTATGCGCAGATTTATGCATGCAACTTAAATGTTTTCAAGAGAGAAATAAGCAAAAAGCAAAATTTTTTGCTTAATTAACATATTCATCGATATGTTCAAAGTAAAACTGCTGTTTAGCGAAAATTTCATGTAACTAAATTTATTCGTTCACTTTTAGGATACTTTAAAATTTTAATTTTTACTGTCGGCAAAAATAGATTTTTAGTAATTGATGCCTTTTTGCTATTTTACATTTTGTTCAGATATAAAGTTTATTTTATAGAACTTTATTGTTTGGTGTACATATGTATAATTAATTATAATACAAAATTTTGACCGGTTTTTATTTAAAATTTATTTTAGTGATTTCTAAATTATTACTAAATAATAAAAACAAAATATAACGACGATAGTTTGTATAAATTTTAAATACGATAACTTTTTTGCTACATTCAGTGATATAAACATTTCAGTTTTTTTAAAAAGGTTATGAGGCATTTATTTACTTTATTTATATACTGATTGTGACTTTTAATTTTTTTTATCAACATAGCATTAAAACATTATGAATCTTTAAAGTTTAGAAAATATTGTTTTATATTTATTAATATCTAATTAATATGCTTAGCATGATTCCAAAATTCCTCGGCGGTTACATTCTCACTATAAATTTATATAATTTTATATAGGAGGCATTAATTTAATAATCTGAATGGGAGAAAAGAGTAAGAGGAGAAGAGTTATTTTTCCTTATTATTAACACGCGTATATAATTGTGTGAATGAAATAAATTGAAGCGAATACACGCGAGAGCTTGTTTCTATTTTCGTTGTGCAGCGCGTAATATAAAAAAAATCACATAAACCAGAAATTCGTAAATATACCGGGTATATAATAAATAGTATCTGTATACAGAAACTGACATAAACACCCTTCAGATTAAGTAACGACGTGATTTAATTACTTCTACGTAAGAATTACTTCTACTTATAATTAATCATCTCGATGACATAATATTGATAAAACACAGCGTTGCCTCTGAAAAAATAATTTGACGTTGATAATTGTTTTTGCCATTTTTTCTTAAATCTTTTTTAGTTTAAGATAAGAAAAAAAGTTTCCAATCGGATTTGATTAATTTAAAGCAAGAATTGATAAACAAGGAACGTTTACAAAATTTTTTCCCTTTATTTTGAGATATTTTTATTTCCCTTTGAAAGATTATATTATTAAAGAGTAATTATTACGAAATTTTTTTTTGAATAAGTGACATTTAAGCATTGGAGCAGTTAATAGCGATTGTTGTCGATGTTAATGGTGCATTAACTTGGCTCGTAAAAACTAATTGAGTAGAATGAAGGGTATTGACAAAGACATAAAAAAAAGAATAAAAAATCGTTAAATTAAACACTGCAAAGTTTATACATATATATATATATATATATATATAAACTAATAAATACAATGGCCATCATAGCAATTGTTGGTTAATTATAATATTAATGCATTCACAGATTTCCACAGATTAAAATATAATACTTTGTAAACGTTGAAACCGACATAACTTCAATTGACGCATGAAGCTGATTTCTATATTTATTCGTGACTAACGATAGATTATGGTTTATTAATACATATTGAATCCATCATTGGAAATGATTAAATCTTTATAAATTCGGATTTCGATGCTGCAAACACGCAAAAGTTAGTTCTCCTCGTCAGTTAGTAATATAGTATACATTTGTTTATTTTGTAATATATATATCAATAATTTATTATAAAGTAATAATTTATAATATTAGAAAATATTCCGATTTCAGATTTCAATCTCAGCTGTGATGTGATAATTTTTATTTGTACACGCAACCTAGAAAATATACTTTTTCCTGACACTGTCAACTATTTTTTGTCAGTGACTATAATCGCTTTTTTACGTATATAATTATTACATCGTTATGACGTAAAGCTTGAACTTTGATATTTAAACTTTAAACGATATAGATATAGTTGCGTGCGCAGAAATAACAATATTATTCTAGAGATACTGTGATATTTTTTTTATAAAAACTGTTTTGAAATTAATAATATCAATTAATTTTTTGAAGAGCGACACACTTAATTCCACAACGAACTGAAATTTTACTCAGATCATTGTTGTTAACTAAGAAAATTTGACAATGGTTCTATTTTTTTAGCTAAGATTTTTTTATTCTCATATACAGTTGACTTAAAAACATTTAATGATATGTCAAAACACCAACTTTTGATAATATAATAACAGTCAAAATAATGAAGATACAAAAAATTATTTGGAATTAATAGCCTATTTAATAGCATACTTTATACCGAAGAAACAGTTTTGAAGTGTCTAAAAATTTAGCTATCACACTAAATTTTTAAATATTTGAGTAAAACCATTTTTTGTACAGATCTGAAAATAATTATATTTTAATCATTAAAATAATTATGTAAAACGTTCAACTAGTTGCTTATCAAAAGTTTTTGCAGAATTACTCATGCTTGAGTTTCCTGTATAATTATTTTAATAATCTAAAATTATTTTCACAGATCCGTATCTGTCTGAATTTTTAAATATTTCAGCAAAATCTTTCCATGTACAGAAAAATCCAGTTTAATCCTGACAAATTTAATACTGAAAGACAGTGATTAATCATTTACCATTTTGGTATTTTGAATACTGAAAACACTCTGAATGATAATACTTTTAATACTTACACTGAGAAAAACGTCTGGTTGGATTAATTGAAATTCTGAAAATGAACTTCTCTGGTTAAATCTATCTATTATTATTCTAGTTGAGATAACCTGAATTCTTATTCATATAATCAGAATCTTCGTCCATGTTCAACATTTTTCTCAGTGTGAAAGAAGTAATTACCTTCTGGTATCAAATTTTTATAAGGAACACGTGTCACTTTGAAAATTCGTCAATAATATTTGCATCATCTATTAAAGCACACCTCGTGCCTGATTACATGCTTATCGCAAAATAATTAGTGACTCGCGACACTAAACGGTCCTTGTCAGTCCGCGTGTTGCGTTCGATCTACTGTCGTGCGTTCTCACGACGACGCGTGATAGTGACATATCGGAAAGACAAAGATAAATAGATACATAGATAGATAGAGACAGAGAGACATTCCAGTTTTCTCATAACCGGTGTACCGTTGCTTTCCACGCTCAGCTGACACGGCCGTGGCTTTTCGACCGATACTCCGAACGAACAGCCTTTCGAGAACAGCCTGCCAGTCGACATTCGTGAGCGTAGCGCGTACACTGTGGAGTTTGTCGCGCTCTTTTCCACTCTTTCCATTCTAGCGGTTCTTTTCCTCCATTTCGCGAGTGTTAACAACGGGAATATGTCGCTCTTCCCGCTGGACTCGTGAACGATTCACGATTCCTCGGCTCTTTCCCATAGCCATTTATCGAAGTAACGTTACTGTACACGGCGGAGTACAGTTCTCGACGTAAATTCGGATTTCTAGAAATACCGAGAGGATAATATCTAATATTTACTTGTGATAACGAAAACGCAATGAGCGCCGCGTAGAATACGGTTCCGCGTATTTACACTATGAAGAAAAGTTGTTAACGTGATTAAATGTGTTTAGTTACGTTAGTTTATAGTGACTTTTTAATTCATATATTTATGTATCCAGGTTAAATATACGTGAGCATATTTAATAACTCATGTCAACAAAATCTTATAATTTCATAAGTTATTTGTTTAAAAAGTTAGTTCGTTTAATTTAAAAAATTTGTTTAATTTAACAAGTTAGTTGTTATTTGTTTGAATTGACAGATATTTACTTGATGGCCTATGACCGCCATAGTTAATTGAATTAACTAATATTTTTTTAAATCAACAACTTTGTTCTCAGTGTATCTGTAGCAGAAAGTAAAACTCGCGTCTACATCGCGAGACTACATCGAAAATCTCGTTAGTTTTATTCTCAATGCTCGTTATAGAAAGAACTGGTGCTCGCAAAGCATTTTACATTCCGAGTGCGTAATTGCTAATACTGCGACCTATTTTTTGTGGTTGTTTACCTTTATGAACATGGAAACCCGTCGGCGTGTTGATACCGGCACTCGTAAGTTCTTTAAGAATAAATAAAATAATATTTGCGACTCTATATAGAATAAATCTAATACAAATAAAACGCCTATTGCTTGTGAGTATATCATTCCTTTATTTCAGAAGTAACGCAACTCAAAAAATTAATCAATGATTCAAAAAGTTAAGTCCCCTCAGAAAAGGGGAAGAAATATTATTTTTAATTTAACAGCAAATTATTGACTAATTAAATATTGGCAAAAAAAAAAAATACTCTCAGAAACGAACAAATGACAATTTTGTCATTTTTGTTTCACAATCTTTAAAAAATCACTTTTTTAAGTTGCGACGATTTTGATATAATATAAAAATTATAATAAATTTAAAATATTTCATCAAAGTGTCATAACTCGAAATATTCAATATCTTCATTAGATAAAATGATTAAATTAGAGATAAAAAATACATTTCTTCTTCAAATTTTGATCACCAAACTATCTTAACTCTAAATGTTCTCTGTAGAAGACTCTTTTTTATTTAAAACATGACACAACTCAAAATGTGTTATTCTTGTAGAAGGTATCATGATTTAAAAAAAAAATCTTAAGAACGACATAATTATAACTGTACTCAAGTGCAGCTATTTGGCTGTGAAATCAAGTTGGTTTACTTTTAATAGAGTAATCTGTATCTAACTCATTCATGATAATAACTCGAAAATCATTTTTTGAATTGCGTTTTAAAGTAAAGAAATGATATAATTTATGCACTAACATGAAGGCTTATATAGATATTTTAATGATATTTTCTTTAAAAATTGATATAAAAATGATGATTTTTAGTCTGAATCGCAGCGATTATTAGTTTTGAAATAACTTTTTTATTTATTCTTTTTTTTTTTTGGAAGCAGCGCTATGATTTTACAGCTCACCATTATGTTAATCTTGCTAACTCATTACAAAAATAAGCTTTGTTTAATATGTACATATTATTTGTATAATTATTTCTACTTTAGTGACGTTTAAATTGCACTTGTTAAAGAATTATATACATATTTTCCGTTAAAGGAAAAGATTATCTATGGTCGTGAATACTTACTATCTTGCTGTTATCTTTCAAGTTTACCTTGAATTGTTTCTACCTATATAATAAAAAGTACTTGTGCATATTTGTTTGGTTATTATTGTATAAAACTTATAAGGCAGATAATGCCTTGTAAGACATTATGCTTTATAAGTTTTTTTTTAATTTTTTAAGATATCTACATGACAAGTATAATCCAGTTTGGTGAAGGTAACTACACGATAATCGAGAAGATTATTCACAGCTATAAAGCACAATGACTTGCTAAAGAATCAGTAATTGAAATTGTTACTAGTTTCTCCTCTTACTTTTAATCTCGGCGTTAACTAATTTTCCTTTGGTATTGACCTCGAAAGAAATCAAAACAGTCCGTAACTAGATTCTCGGAAATGCACGTGTATGAAACAGATTTTTCAGTCACAACACAGTTTGTATAATTACTCATAAATCGCACAATAACAGGATACCGCAAATAATAGGCTGCTAACGTAACAATGAATATACTCGCGATTTTGTTTTTGTCTGACAAGACAATTTTCGAAAGTCAGGCATTTCTGAGTCAAATGATAAAGTATGTCTCTGAACATGTCGAATAAATCTCGCGCGAAGAAAGGCATACGTACAACTGATGGCGTTAATTAGAATTCTAAGACAGTATTGTTTGACTGCAATAAATATCTCAGGCCGCATTTTTAACGAATGCAATGGCAATTTCCATATTGCGTTGCACTTCTCTTATATACAACCTCGTTATAAGTTATCATTTATTCTTCCGGTCTCAATTCTTGATATTACGTATTACATTGCCGTTATATTTCTTGTATGTGATTATCTTGAGAAGGTGATGAACGAAAATAGAAAACGCTTGATTGAATTAATTAATCTCTCCTCATTTAATTCAATGATGTGCGTAGAAAAAAGAAAAAAATTGTTAATTTACATCGTCGATTTATAGTGATTAGGTAAATATCTATGGTTTTTATAAAGATATAAATTCAAGGACAATTTGTAGAAAATATGTACTTTTTAATCATCTTATTCATGTCATCTTATTTTCGACGGAAGAAAGAACATAGCCTGTGGTCCATTTTTTAGCAATTCGACTTATCGCAAGTGTAAACTTAAGAATCGTAATAATGACATGTGTGAATCATCATCTTTACAAGAGATCAACAGTATTTAATAGCATTCGACCTCTTTTGCTGAAGATCCCGTCATCTCGCGCGGAAAGAACTCCACAACGCAGTTTATTGATTTAGGCTTCGACGGGTTTTCACAGAAAATATCACTCACGTAGTAGTATATCTATGAAATTTATTTATAATAGATCATAAATTATTTGGAACAGTAAATCATCTGGAAATCATTACGATGATACACTGATCGAGATCGTTTCATTCGTTTGTTTTAAGTCATAATATTTGATGTTTTTCTCATTAAAAATACATAAAATAATGATTCAGTAGAAAAATAATTTTTATTTAAAGGAATTATTTACACGCAGAGAATACATGTACAGGCTGTACCGAAATTCGCCAATCAAGATATCACAGCAAGAAAGTTTTTAAAAGATTAAAAAATGTTATACGTATATACATTTTTATTTCAAGTAGTAGCTTTTGAAATATAAAAGTTTAAATATAATTAATTACAGATTATATGTTTAGACCGCTATCTGTCTATGAATCGCGCGTGTGATAGTATTAATAAGCGTGCACTTCAGCATTTAAATGTACTCCGTCATTAGCTATATTTAAATTTATTATTTCACAAACTATTACTTAAAATAAAAATTTACGAGTAACATTTTTATTGGTTTTTTTTTGTAAACTTTCTTGTTGTAGTATTTTGATTCGCGAATTTCGGGACACTATAAAGGGTGTCCCAAAATTAACGCAAGATTTGAATTTGCCGCCATTTGTGCAGTAAAGTGTTGGCAACCCAAAAAAAAAACAATTTAACAGCTGACAGTTTAGGGTTAGTGAAAATGGAGCGTGAAAATGGATTATTGAACATCAACAAATGGATGCTGATTTTTCGAGCAAAATCATCCTAAGCGATGAAGCACATTTTCACCTTGATGGCTTTGTTAATCGCCAAAATCGCCCCCTAGATCGTGTGATTTAACACCATTAGATTTCTTTTTATGGGGTTATTTGAAATCACAGGTCTATGTCAACAAGCCCACAACCACCCGTGCATTAAAGGAGGAGATTCAACGCTGCATCAACGAAATTCAGCCACATTTATGCAAAATGGTCATGGAAAATTTCGACAAACGAGTGCGTATGTGCATGCAAAGCCGTGGAGGCCATTTGCCCGATGTGTTATTTCACAAATAATCCTATGTACTTTATGATTCAATAAAAAAATAACAATCAAAAGACTAAAAACTGTGTTTTCTATTTAATTCAAATCTTGCGTTAATTTTGGGACACCCTTTATATACTTTATCATAAATAGTTACTTCTGTTTCTCATTGCTAAAAAAGATAGACCGACGAATTTAATATTTCATAATAATACTATAATATTATTTATAATACTTGATAATTAATACTTTAAACTTTAATACTATCGATGAAGAATAAAATTATATTTATTTCAATTTAACACCTATCATGTAGCTTAGTTTCATTTTCTCATTAGGCATAATTAAATTTTAAATATATGATTATTTATTTACCGGATATACAAGAGGAATAATTTCGGTATTTTATTATGTACACAAATCTATCGATTTTGCAAAAATGTTGTTTTATTAAAAAATACACTTTAATAAGTTTGCAAGAATTTTCTTTATGTTTTTGTATCTTTGTTTCTTCTGATGTCCGAGCTACAGTGAGTATAGACAGGAACCTTAAATTTGATTTCTAGTCTGTCACAGTATTTCTTAATTTGAAAAATAAAGGAAAGCCACTGTGGCTATTTTATTTCAAAGACAAGATCAAGAAGGATATTCTAATCAAGAATGTGTTTTATTTGCAAGAAGTGCATCTGGGTCTTTTGTTTGTTATGAGGTGTTAAATAGATCAGATCGACCGTGCTAAGTGTAACTAGGCTACTGCAGATGCCCTGACCCTGACTATCGCGGCAAACGAACATGTCGTCTTCACGAAGCAGAGTAGGCGATCGTATCCTGGACGGTTGCCATCGAGAGATCTAAATAGAACTACCTACCGCACTCCTACGGCGCGGCGGCGGGACGACCACTTTGCTGCCGTTTTATAGATTCCGTTTCGTTGACTATTTGCACGAAAAGTGTGAATGTCTTAACCGATGGATGAATAACTCTCCTAAAATCGTATCGCGCATATAACGTGGGCGCGTTAGCTCCAGAATGTCTACACTGTTGAACACTTGGACTATTTCTTCTGATACATTAAAGTGGAACGCTGTATGTCTGCCAAATGTTCTCTCTAGAACTTTTAGAATGAATCTCACTCTAAAGAGTGAAGTCTTACTCTTAAAGATAGAAAATTAAGTCACTCTTTTTCAAGATTAACTCAATTTTCACTCATTAGAATGAGATTTCACTTCGAAGAATTTATAATAAATTACGTTACGTTATGTATGAAATTATTAAGCTAAAGTAATAGGTGACATAGCATGAAATATTTTTTCTATATATTTGAGGCATTCCACGTCAAACTGGGCAGCTTTGAAACATCGTCATTTTTATTTTTATTTTTTAATTTGCTGACATATGCTACAAATAAAAATATGAGACTTCCGCCTGATATATCACACCGTCACACGACAGATTTTTTTAATTATACAGCCCATTCGAGTTCTATTTTAAAATTTTCAAGGTTACTTTATAATTAAAGTGGGAATAACGTTTTTTATGAATTTCTGTAACTTACGAGCGTGAATAATTTCACAAAAAAAAAAAGGCAAATTTTTTTCACGAAACAAGTGTCTCATATTTTTATCTGTAGAATATAAAATCAAA